CTGACAAATGGTAGCTAAGAGGTTAGAGGGAAGGTGGAGCTCAGGGCACCTTTGAGGAGAGGTCTCATTTTTCAAATCTGTTGTTGTTTTCTGTCACTTTATATGCAGTCTTTGGAGTGTTGTGTTAAGAAAAAGAAAATAATGGGAAGTGAAAATGTTTTCAGCTCCTCTTCAGAGAGGGGGACCCTTTGCAGGCTGCTGCAGAGAGGTGGCACCTGCACAGGGGCCAGGCTGGTGCGGTGCTGGGTGCTCTCGGTGGCGCAGAGCAGCTCAGGTGTTAGAGCTGAGCAGTCAGTGTTTCCTCCCTTGTTTGCTGGACCGATTTAGATAGGATCATGGAGACTAGACACCACGTAGTAGTTTTTAGAGCTTGTAGAGAGGGAGAATAGGAGGAAGGGCTCTCTGATTTTCCCCTTAGCCGTCATTTCCAGGACAGTGAGTGGAAGCCTGCAATCTCCTACTGTCCTTCAGAGACCTCTCCTTTTTTCTGTTTTATGATGAATCCCTATTCACTATGCTACAAGTTCTCTTGATGTTTTACTTTTGTTTTCCATCCCGTGCAGACCTCTTTCCTTCCCCCCCCCCCCAAGGCTCCAATCCCTTTTGCTGTTTTGTGGTAATTGGGGTGGTCTCTCTCCTCCCTCACTCCTTTTTTCCAGTTATCCCAGTTGTCTTTATTTACTCTTCATACTCTCCTGCTCTTTATTCACCCACACCTATGTTTCTCTTTCCTTTTCCTGTCTTGCACGCAGCCCTGTTCCTCTCCTCTCTTCTTTCCCACCCTGTTCTTCAGTGCTCTGCACCATGTAGCCTGTTTTCCCATTGCGAATCTTGCTCCGTGAGGTTTCTTACATGAAGCAAAGAAACCCTTGGTGCCTTTGCAGACATTCCTCTCCTCCTGTTGCTGACTGTCCCTCCCCCCCACCTGAGTGGAGCCTAAATAATTAAATTTCTCTAAATAGCTCTTCTCCCCCTATATGCCGGACTCTTGCCCCAAGCCAGCTCCTGCCAGGCAGGAAGGAGGTGGCCGAGCAGTGGGTTCCCGTTGAGGCAGACACCCCTGGCTGCCTCGTGCACGGGCTTAGCAGGGGGGTTTCGCCATTGGCCTTTCCAGAGGGTCAGCGTGCCTCCCAAAGCAGGCGCGAGCACCACCGGCAGCTGCTGCCAGAGCCTGGCATTGCCCCCAGGCTGCCTACGGAGCCGCAGTTAATATCTTCCAGGTTTGCATGTTCAGCATCGTAACGCAAATATTACAAAAATGATTTGAATTCCAGTTCAAGTTTGTTTATCAACTGTCCAAACTAAATGAAAAGCAAAACTTCTCGTAGTACCCGACTGCCAAAACCTCCTGGCTAGAGACAGGTCTCCAAGACACAATCTCTCCTTAAGCCTTATATGATGAGGGAGGAAAAGAGGCGGCTGCTGCCCTGCCCCTCCCCTAACCTCCACTTTTTGGAACCTCCCTCTCGCCATGAATAACTCCAGTGTCTGCCACTGGTGCTGTCGCAGA